GTGTGTACTAAGTTGAAAGGAAATAAACGGTTACCTTTTTTGGGTGTGAAGATTGAAGAGTGAAAAATAAGGAAATTACATGCTCGTTTATGGTAATAAGAAGGTAAGCTTTCCGGGTTCCTTTAATTACACAAAATTCTGGGTTTTCGGGTTCCATTCTAGCAAAACTGCAATCATTAGTTGAAGTTTCGGGTTCAGGTACCCAAAACCCGAAACTGGCATTTTTCGGTTTCGGTTCGGATTTGTAATAAACGGGTGTCGGGTTTTCGGTTTCCTTTGAATTTCGGGTTCGGTTAACCGACCCGAACCGGCCCGACAGCCCTACAAGTATGACAAGGACTACAAGATCTAGACGGACAAAGACTTGTCCCTAATACGCATTGCCGCGCCGCCAATCCTTGTAACGTCATCGATTGCTGCCGAGTCCGTGTGGGCCACGCATGAAGAAGCAAGACGCTATTTCGACATGTGTTCGAAGCCCAAGGTTAATTCTGGTGGGAAACGATGCTCTTTCAATATTGGGAGGAACGATGATCTTGATGAATGGAGGATTGTCAACGGTAAGCTATTTGATGGGCTTAAACCTTGGAAATATAGGAAGAAAATAAAGTACGGATGTTAGTTGATGGTAAGGAGACAATGAATTAACATGAGTGACTATTTAATTTTAGTTGATGGAGGGCGTCACGGAAAGTTATATTTGAGAATGGGGGAGGTGATTGATGCTTTTGGTAGTGATAATGAAAGTGGCGACAGGCAAGGAATGGAAGATGAAGCTGCGGACGAGTGGGAGTTTGAACTTGGACAAGAATGTCGCAAGGGCCGGAGTACTCGGCGTTGTCACAATGGAGGGGAAGCTCACTTTCTTTGGGGAATGGGTTAGGGTGATTACTTGTTTTTTAGTAATCACGGTGGCAACCTCTTTATATACCATTTGATTAACTATTTTTTCTTCTTTTTTAATCTTACGGTCAAAATTCTTTTAGGCTAATTTTGGAAATGAAAATATAACCACACCTGATTATTCTATATAATCTATCCAAACCCTAGTTCTACCCTCCCTCTAGCCAAACTCGCCGTAGCCGCCTCCACCACTCCCGTCGCACAAATCCCGCCGGCCGCCTACACCAGCCCCGGCGATGACTCCATGTCGGCCACCGCAGCGGCCTCTCACCCCTCTGATCAGGTACCCTCCCGCTGCTCTCTCTTCCGTTGCTCTCTCTCTATCTCTCCCGCTGCTCTCTCTCTCTCTCTCTCTCTCTCTCTCTCTCTCATCTCTACCACTGCTCTCTCTCTCTCTTGTTGCTCTCTCTCTCTCTCTCTTATCTCTCCCGCTGCTCTCTCTCTCATCTCTCCTGCTGCTCTCTGCTTCCCTCCCTATCTCTCTATCCATTTGTATACGAATAGATCTGGTAATTTAGTAATGGTAGTAACTTATGAAATGGTATACTTTGTTTTGGTATTAGTTCATTATTTTGTTGTATGAAATGGTATAGTGTGTTTGTCATAATGGTATTCATTTATTTCTGCAATGGTATTGTTTTGATTTCACAATAGTAGTTGTATTGATTGTATTGGTAGTTTTAGTTCAAATGGTATTAATTTATTTGTGCAATGGTATTGTTTTGATTTCACAGTTGTAGTGGTATTGTTTGTTTTTTGTATTTGTTTGACTTTTGTAATGGTATAGATTTTTTATATTGATAGTTTTCGTGTAATGGTATAGATTTATCTCTGCAATGGTATTGATGTTTTTCAAATTGGTAGTGATTGTCTAATTGATTGGTAGTGATTTCGTGTTTTTTTCTTTTGCAGAAAGATTGAGAAAAATATGGAAAGGAGATCTGGCTGAAGATTACGGAAGTGAGAGAAAGAGATATAATTGTATTTAATTAATTTTTGTAACTACCTATAATGTAATTTATTAAAAAAATTCATTAATATAATTTATTTTTCCATACCCAATTTACCCTTAGTAACCACGGTGATTACAACAAAAGTAGTAATCACCATAACCGCTCCTCTTTCTTTGGTTCTGATTCTGCTAGAAAATTTGTTCGATTATTGGAGCGCAATTGGAAATTTAGAAAATGACTAACTTCTATAATAACCCTAACACTAATACGGAAATAACCTAACTTCTACGCCTCTAATAAGAAATATAACTCTACCCAATTACATACTAGTACTCGTAGTATAACACAATACTACTTGTACTACACATACTCTAATACCCTCCCCAAATTCATGGTAATTACTTACCAACAATTTGAAAACCGAAACAAAAGTGACACAAATTACTACGGACAATGTGACAAAAAAAACTTTGAGAAACATAACTACTCCGCCAAATTTGTTGATGTCAATGAAGACCATGTCCAATGCCTCGTTAAACGTCGATGGTGATAAGCAGGCCCAGCCCAGACCCTGTGCTGGTCAGGCCCACAGCACAGGGCCTCAATTTTATTGGGGCCTCATAATCAATTAAGTCTGGAGGCCCATATAAACCCTTAGTTCGGAGGCCCCGTTGGGCTGGCGAGGCCCACACTCGAACTCCTTGGGCTGGCGAGGCCCACACACACAAAAACCCAAAGTTCAAAGGTGCAGGAGGAGAATCGAACCGCGGTCCTATCCTTTTCATCAAAATAAGAAATAACCACTGAGCTACGACTTGTTTGTTGAATCAAAACTAACAGTTAGGTATTTAATCTTCTTCTCTTTTCCCAAAATTCTCAACTTCTCAAAAATATCCAACGCCTAAATATGAATTGTACGCACCCAATTCTAATTATGTCAACCCGAAAATTTGAAAAAGTTAATTTCTAAGCGTAGATAATATTATTATTTTCCAATCATTTTCTGAAGTTGTCATTTTTATTATTATTTAATAATTTTATTTTTAAAAAAATTTATGAAAAAATGTTTTGGGGCCACATTTTAAATTGTCGAACAGGGCCTCTCATTTTCATGGGACGGTCCTGGTGATAAGCTGGAGATAACAAAAGGTCTTGCCAAAATCGTCTAGTTAGTTGAACTAACTGAACCACGTGCTCTGAACAGCATCATGGCCATCAAGATGCTCCAAATAGCATCATCGAAACAGAAACAAACCACGTACTCCGAACAGCAACAAGGCGACCAAGATGCTTCGAATAGAATCATCGAAACGGAAACAATACCAAAAATGCTCCGAACATTTATCAAATTGAGATATTCCGAACAATATCTCAAACTAAGGTGTTCCCAACAACACCTTCATAACCGAAACCAAAGAGACGAAACCTATATTTGTACCAACCCGAGACGGACTTGAACGACTCCAGCTGAGAACCCTTTCCATCTCCACCATCACCAACCAATCAAAACAACGTCAGTAGAATCCAATACCAATACCAATTAGTCCCAAGAAATCTAAAACTTCATATCCACCGACCGAAGCAATTCAATCCAAATTGCAATCTAAACTCACGTGCAACCATCCAGATCCAATAACCATATCCAGCTTCCCAATTCCAATTGAGTAAAAGCAATCTCGTGCAAATAAAAGCCAAATATTTCCAAAAACCCTCACTTATCATTCACATAAATAGCTAGCCATCACCACCATCAGTATTGAGGGTAAAAGAAAACCTGGAATTCGGACTTCATAGTTTGCGGGAGATTCTCGAGGCGGTGCCAATAGAAAGCAGCCGAGGCCAAGCTGGATGCTGTGCGTTACCAACGAAGCAATGCGGAGACACGTTGGAGACGTTGAACCTCAATCGGCGGAAAAAGCAGGCAGCAGCTTAACAAAAGGCTTCGGAAAAGAGCGGAAGGGACGACCGGGAGTTTCCTGTTGTTTTTGTTTTTCTTATCTTTCCAATCTATCTATTCAGCTACGAGACAATAACTAGGGGGAGATCCAATCAATGGTTGCGCAATATGATGATCATTCCCGGCGACTGTGGACTCATGACCGACGGCGGCTATGAAAGATATTTAGGGTTTGTGGATTAGATTTTTCAATCAGGGCCACATAGAGTTTATATAGAGTACAGAGACTGACTTCTATAATAACCCTAATACTAATACGGAAATAACCTAACTTCTACGACTCTAATAAGAAATGTAACTCTACCCAATTACATACTAGTACTCGTAGTATAACACAATACTACTCGTACTACACATACTCTAATAGATTTCACATGGATTTAGCGAGTTTATTAGTTGGCATGGTCATCAACAACAAGTAGGAAAACTTCTTCTACATCGATCCTGGTTGAGAGGCAAGCGTGGTCATCCCACCAACTTTGAGGGCAAGGTTGCACTTAAAGAGGGAGAATTGTTACGATACGAGCCATTCTTAATAATCTAGGAATTTTTGGAAATTGTTATTTTCCTTCTTCTTCAATAAAGTTAATCACCATTATAAAAAAAAATTATGGGCTCATCTATTTTTAGTAGTTTTATTATTTAGTTAGTATTTCGTATTAATTTGGATATTATTATTGTTTACTTGTCTTAGTATGATAGTGATTGTTTTCTAGTATGTTTAGGATTTGGTTATCGTTTCCTTGTGTGGGAGTAGTACTCATGTTCTAGATAGGAAAAGGTAGAGGCTTTCTATGCCTATAAATATGTATTGTTTGTTTGTCTTAGTAGGATTGTGATTGTTTTCTAGTATGTTTAGGATTTGGCTATCGTTTCCTTCTGGGAGTAGCATTCATCACTACAACAAAACAGTGATTTAGCGACGGTCAAAACCGTTGCTAAAATATTTAATGACGGAAAAGCAACTGTCGCTGACCCCGCTGTCCTTAAAATTTATAGCGACGGTTTTGGGCGACCGTCGCCCTGACCGTCGACAAGTATAACGACGGCAGTGACCGACGCAATTGTCCAGTTAACCGTCGTTAAATAAATATTCCATAAATTATTTAAATTGTTAGCGACAGATATGGCCGTCGCGAAAAGCTAATTACCGTCGCTAAAGGCTGTTGTATTTTAAAAGGCCAACTGCTCTAATAATACAGCCCTAGCCTGCAGTTTTCCATTACTCTAATGATCTAGTAACCATTTTCTGACCATCATATCAGCAATACAGTAGCCTAATAATTACAATTCCAGAATTGTATATCTATTCATAACCCTTGAATTACCATATCAAAAATATAATCCATCAATACAGTAGCCTAATGTTCAAAGCCTACAATCTACTGTTCAATACTATTTCAAACTAAAAACAAATATTTACCCCTGCAGCCGTTCATCAACTTCCAGCCCTGCAAATTAACAAAACAACAAAAATCCAGTCACAAATCCATAGTTATAAATCATTTCAAACTAAATTCTTATTAACTAGCAGCTTTTGCATCACCCTTTTCAACCTCTTTATTCGTACCATAATTATGGACCGAATGAAAAGAAGCAGCTACAGTAAGCCAAGCAAGGCCTTAATAATCAGCCGCACAGAAATGACAGACCATCATACAACAATGCGACCGTCCAAACGAAAACTTGAAACATCCATACACATCGAGGGCTTCTTCTCAAGGACAGGGTATGATAGTTCAACATTCACTAGCAAACAGGTTTTCCTAGCACAGCATAAGGACTAGGATCTCAGAAAAGAAACAATCGAAAGTTTGGTTCAGATAAGCGAAATCCAGGAACTAGATGCTAACCTTTCCTGGCTGGAGGTTTCTTGAATGAAGAACGGAAGCCTGAAACACCAGAAAGAGAAAACGAACATGAGATTAGTCTTCACCGATCATTTGCTTGAATTGTAGGGAATTGCATTATATTCTTAGAAAGTTTGGTGATTGGTGGGGTTTTTTTATGGATTCTGCCTAGGTTGGAGTGGTATCGAAAGCTGAAGCTATTCAGATGGCTGAAGAAGCTGCAATTCAGAAGCAGTTCGGAAGAAGTTGCTCAGTACCCAAGTTTGGAGTGAGGAAAGTGGTCTTTTGCATGGTTCAATTCAATGTCATCATTCACTTATCTCCCATCCTGCACATGGCAATTGGAATTTCAAAACTATCAACATATATAATAATAGAGTGCAAAGAAAGTCTGACAAACAATTAAGAGGTTACAGTAAGTGGGGGTAAAAGCAAACAAATGCATTCAGAATGGTAGGACTCCTTTGCTTCAACAATATCATTTCAAAAGAAGCATCTAAAAGATCAAACACGTTTGCAAGGCCCCTGAAAACCAACAGCCTCTCATACATCCCCACCTCAAAATCCAGCACTGCAAGGAAACAAGCAAATAAAGCAATACAAAAATCAGTCAATAACAAGCTGATTTCTATGAAAAGAAAAAATCCATCAATAATTCTCCTTTCTGAAGAACTTGCATACTTCTCACTTCTCCCCAAGCCATGTTCATTATGGTTAAACAGCAACTCTAAGTTGCCCAAGTCTGTCTAACCCATCTTTCCATTTCTTTTTTCCTTCACTCTGTATCAGTATGATCAACGAGTCTTTTAACATTGGATAGAACTGAAACCACTATAGAGGTATTCTCTATCAACATATAGCTCAGCCATATCTTTTTATTAGTAGATCAACTTCATTGACTATTACTCTTTGAAGGTCAGAGAAACACCATCCAATATACAAAAGCAAGTCAAAATCAGATGGGTATTCATGGACACCATAGGATAAAACTTAATAAGCTCACCTAGCTGTATCAAGAGCAACTTTCAGCCGCAAATTCATCCGAGCACACTCATCCTTTTTCCGTCAAAGAAAGATCCTCCATATTCTGGCATGATCATTACTCGATTACCGATATCTCTCTGCCCCTTACACCCTTCAAGAAAACTCCTCCATATTCTGGCATTTGGAGGGAAGGGCATGCTGCCAATTAACTTCTCTGCTTCACTGATATGCCCACTTCTAGCTAACACATCCACTAGGCAATGGTAATGATCCAACTCTGGTTTTATACCATAATGACCATTCATTTTCTTGAACAACTCCATCCCTTCTCTCGCCAAACCACCATGTCTGCAAGCTGTAAGCACTGCACTGAAAGCAACCTTGTCAGGTTTATGCCCTAATGATTCCAGCTGTTTGAACACCCTTATCGCATCATAAGCACGCCCATTATTTCCAAGAGCTGAAATCAGAACTGTCCAGGTAATGATATTTTTCTCCTTCATCTCATCGAATACTTTACGAGAACTTTGAGCTCTCCCACATTTACCATACATATCTATCAAGACATTGCAAACAAATGCATCGCAAGCACTGAAATTTGTCTTTATAAGGAGACCATGAATAGTGCTTCCGAAGGGAAGCATGCATATCTTACTGCACGTGCTCAGAAGACTAACATAGGTGTAGTTATCTGGACGTATGCCTACCATAAGCATGTGCCTGAAAAGCTCAGTGACCTCTTTATAGTGACCATCACGAGCACAGGCAGCAAGAACAATATTCCAAGATATGGCATCTGGTTCTTCAAGTTCAGAAAGCAATTTTATTGATTCATGGTATTGGCCTGACCTGTTCAAAATTCCAGTAATAGTATTCGAAAGGACAGTGCCAAGCGTTTCAAATGCCACGACTAACCTTCTTGCTTCATGGATGAGACCTTCCCTGTCATAGCTGGCAATAAGGGCACTCAACACATATTCATTATTTTCATAGCCCATCTTCATAATCAAACAATGAACTTGACATAGCTCTAACAATAACAATGACTTCAGTATAGCAGAAAACGAAGACTCATTGGGACGGAAGCCCAATAGAAGCATCTCTTGGAGCAAAGGAACAGCAAGTGAGGAGCTTTCATTTGAAAAGGCCAAAACAATACCATTCCAGCAAACCACATTCTTCTCACGTATCTCAAGAAAGCTGTTGTATGCATAATCCAGCTTGCTGCATTTCGCATAGTAATCGACTAAAGCATTACCCACATAAGCATCTGTTTGGAAAGCATTAATGATCACAAAAGCATGCACAGCTTCTCCAAACATTGGGATATTTGAAGCAGTACATGACTGAACCAGACTTACAAATGTGGTCTGATTTGGCCTGACATCATCCTCTTTATACAGTCTCTTGAAAAGCTCCATCGCTTTTCCGGGCTTCTGACTTTTTGCTAGTGCACCCATCAGGGTATTCCATGTGACAATGTCCTTTTTCTTCACATCCTGAAACATTCTTTCAGCCAGAGATGTGCTGCTGCCACATTTGACATACATATTTACAAGAGTGTTGCTGACTGGGACTTCACAATCAAGCCCAATTTTCATAGCTAAACCATGCACCTGTTGTCCAAATCCCAAATCTTTATCACGTGCTAATCCAGACAAAACACCAACAAAAGAGCCTTCAGATAAAGTACCCTCTTCTGCTCTCACGAGTTCACAAAACAAACCCATACTATCTTCCACCAAGCCGTGACTAGCAAAGCAAGAGATTATCGAATTCCATGTCGTTAAGCTCTTTTTGGGCATATCCTGAAAAACCAGTGATGTCTCTTCTAAGCACCCATACCTTCCAAACAATCCCAACAAAGAAGTTCCCACAAAAGCATCAGCAGCTAACAGCCCGCTTTTCATTGCTAGTGATTGCAATCTAACCCCATGACTGAGATCCATCGAAGCACACGACAGCATACCCCCGAGAGTGAATTGGTTTGGCCTTAATCCACAAGCCATCATCTCTTTCAAAGCGCGCCAAGCATCATCAGGGCAGCCGAATCTGCTGTAACAACAAATCATAGAATTGTACGACACCGTGTTCCTTTGCGGCATTCTGTCGAACACTTTACGTGCGTTCAAAAACTCCTTGACCGAGGCATATAACGTGATGATGTTGTTGTGCAGAAAGGTCGTCTGGGTCGAGAACGTCCCACCGAATGTGAACAAGAGTGCGTGAAGACATTTCGTTGCTCCGAGAGAACGAACCCTCGAGGTGGCTTCAAGGAGACGAAGGAGCCGCTGATGGTATTTGGTGGACTCCCCATGAATAATCATTAGCAACTTTGAATCATTATTCAGAAGATAAGCCCCCTACTTTGATGGGGAAACACAAACACTTCGAAGCAATTTCAGTTCCTGTTGCTGTGCAGTAAGCCAGTAGCAATTGGAAAAGAAAAAATCAGTCAATAACAAGCTGATTTATATGAAAAGAAAAAATCCATCAATAATTCTCCTTTCTGAAGAACTTGCATACTTCTCACTTCTCCCCAAGCCATGTTCATTATGGTTAAACAGCAACTCTAAGTTGCCCAAGTCTGTCTAACCCATCTTTCCATTTCTTTTTTTCTTCACTCTGTATCAGTATGATCAACGAGTCTTTTAACATTGGATAGAACTGAAGCCGCTATAGAGGTATTCTCTATCAACATATAGCTCAGCCATATCTTTTTATTAGTAGATCAACTTCATTGACTATTACTCTTTGAAGGTCAGAGAAACACCATCCAATATACAAAAGCAAGTCAAAATCAGATGGGTATTCATGGACACCATAGGATAAAACTTAATAAGCTCACCTAGCTGTATCAAGAGCAACTTTCAGCCGCAAAGACCAAATTAGCTTAGACCGACCGAGACGATCCTGAAAATGATTAAATAAAGTCCATATAACAAGAGTTATTTTCCTTCTCCTTATTTACTATGATGCTACACCCGACAATCACTTGAAATATTAAGCATATATATCGACAGACAAATGACCCAAATATCCAAAATCATGAAAAGCCAGATCTATGGGTCCTCCGTATAAGTAAAGTAGCTCTAGTTTATAAAAGTAGGCAATTCACCTAATTACCTTTCTGATCTTGAATCAACTGTCTCGCTTTCCTTCCTAATTCCATTCACCGTAAAGATCCATTATCAAACTCAAGTAGAAAGTAAGAATGATAGTTACAAAGACAATAAAAGAAAATGGAATACAAAAATCTTACACGAACATGTTTCAGCCTATCCTGAGAATCTCAAATGCGTTCACAATTATTGAGGTGTATTACCTCGGCTGTTAAATCAACACCAAAGAGCAGCGAGTTAGACTAAATCAAATGAATAAAGACTAAATGCACATGCACATGCAAAAAATAAAATGAAAGCATGAACCCTTTGAGATCTATATCCGAAAATGAAAGTGCTTCAGCAAGAAAAGCCAACTCTCATCTTTTTGCTCCCATTTGTAATAACTGATACCATCCTCTCCAAGAGGTTCAGACAATTTGTAAATTCCCTAGTGGTATTGATCCATCACAAGTTCACAACACAGGACAGCAAGATTTTCCATTGACCTAGCTAGATTACTCCAGAAATTCATCTGAACTACGGCCCTCATTCAGCTGATTGATTTCCTACCCAGAAACCCTAATTCTTGAACATATAGACTTTCGGACTGAGCTCTTCATCGAGTCAATCGAACTAAGCGAATAACAACAACAAAAAAGCCATAATTGAATTTCAGGAGCGAAACATTTTCAAGCCAATACGATCCGGGAAAGGGAAGGGAAGAATTAGGAGAGTGAAGTATTACCTTGCCGGTTAATTTCTTCATGAACTTGGCGTCGGCAGTGAAGCTCATAAGAAAGAGTGGAACACCGATGTACAGGCCGAGCTTCACGCCCTCCAGAAATCCCTTGGAAAATACGATCCGCGGAAAGTTGATTCGCCGGCGAGGAGGAAACAGAAATCTCAGGCAAATATCGGTTGCGTCGATCTTGTGGATGGAAAGTAGAGGATTAGGGCCTCGCTACGTGGGCGCTTATTAGTTTATCTGGGCCAGGCCCATGCAAAAGGGAAAATCAAAACCGGGCTCGTCTCCATTTCGTTGATTCATCCCTTATGGCTCTCAATCTCATGGCTTAGGATAGGGTGAGTAACCCTTTGTTACTCACCCGTGAGTAACCACCTAGAGACCGTCGATCTTGACCGGACGGATCTTGTGGCTGTGATTGATGCGGTGATTTTTGTCCACGGTCAGGGGCATTTTTGTCCGATATTTCATATTTGAATTAAATGACTTTCCCTCTTTGTCCGTTGCGAATCTTTCTGTGCGTGAGTTGGATTCGGATTTTGGAGAGAGAAACTACGAGCAGGGGGAGCAGCAGCTGAGAAACAAGGACGGCGATTCTCCATGGTTGATCGACGGCGATAGAAACTGCGAGCAGCAGCTTCGAATCGAGCTTTATGATTCTCCATAATTGATCGACGTGTGCGCGAGTTGGATTCGGTTTTTGTAGAGAGAAACTGCGAGCAGCCGCTGCGAAACAGGGGACGGCGAATCTTTTCTGATTCTCCATAATTGATCGACGACGAGGTTAGATAATAGTTTTTTTTTATTCTTCCTGTTTAGCTAATCGAGTTTTCTGTTGATCTCTGGTTTCGTTGGAGGTTTTTCATTGCTGCTAGTCGAGCTTGTTTATGTTTAGCTAATCGAGCTTGTTCATGTGTTATGTTCTTTGTGTTTTGGTGTTTTTGCAGTATTCTGGTGAGATGAGTTACGTAAATTGTGGCGATGTTGTTCCAATTGATAGATCTGGTTCTTCAACCAGCGTTGTAGGATCTGGTTCTTCATCTAGTGCTGTTGGAACTGCTTCTTCATCTATTGATCTTGGATTTGATCATTCATCTAACTCTGGTGAATCAGGAGGTAAGATATACAAATTTGTTTGTTTATTGAAGTTTGTATAGTGTCGTAATTTGATTTTACCATGCCTTATCATGTGGTAATTGATTTTACAGTACATTACCATGTGGTAAAATGTGGTAATTAGGAAGTTAAATGTGATGTTTCTGTGTGATAATTGATTTTACCATGCCATACCATATGGTATAGTGTGGTAATTTGATTTTACCATGCCTTATCATGTGGTAATTGATTTTACAGTACATTACCATGTGGTAAAATGTGGTAATCAGGAAGTTAAATGTGAGGATTCTGTGTGATAATTGATTTTACCATGCCATACCATATGGTATAGTGTGGTAATTTGATTTTACCATGCCATACTATGTGGTATAGTGTGGTAGTTTGATTTTACCATGCCTTATCATGTGGTAATTGATTTTACAGTACATTACCATGTGGTAAAATGTGGTAATTAGGAAGTTAAATGTGTGTGATAATTGATTTTACCATGCCATACCATATGGTATAGTGTGGTAGTTTGATTTTACCATGCCATACCATATGGTATAGTGTGGTAATTTGATTTTACCTTGCCATACCATGTGGTATAGTGTTGTAGTTTGATTTTACCATGCCATATAGTGTGGTAATTTGATTTTACCATGTCATACCATGGTGGTAACTCTTGTATCATGGCTGTAATTATTGGTATACATTGAGATTTCATACTGTTGTGGTGTGGAATCCATTTAATATGTTGTTTCATAATGTTTGTAGGTTTTAATGGTATAGATCCTATTGTTCGTGATTCTTGGAAGGACTTAGAGTTCAGTACACCAGATGATGCATATAATTTTTATGTTGATTATGGGAATCATGAAGGTTTTGGTGTGAGGATTTATAACCAATCAGCGTGTCCGAAGCTCAATGGTGGTTCTTCAGCTGTATATTATATCAAGTATTGTTGCAATAAGGAAGGTTGGAAAAGAGGTAGCGAGAATAACCCTGATAATGCAGGTGTTGTTGATACGACGGTTCGTGTTCGTAATGTTCCAGAACTCAGGGGTGGATGTAATGGTGCTTATATACGCCTGAGGTGGTTTAAAGAGTTTAAATGCTACAAGATCTATCGTTGGTATAATGTGCACAACCATGACATGATTCCTGAGTCTCTGCGTCACTATGTGAGATCCAGCCGACGAATGGCTCCTGTGTATAAGATGTTGGCAGAGGTGAATGATGCTGCTGGTATTGGTGTGACTTCTTCGTATAATGCAATTAGTAGGGCTGGTGGTGGTCGAAAGTTTGTTGGGTTCACAAAGAATGATTTGAAGAACCATCTGCGAACGGTTAGGACGTCATCAATGGAGTATGGTGATGCGACTGCATTGCTTGAATACTTTAGACGTCAAGCACAGCCGGATCCTGGGTTCTTTCATGAGGTGGAGGTTGATGTTGAAGAGAACATTGCTAGTATTTTTTGGGCAGATGGGAAGATGAGGATGGATTATCATTATTTTGGTGATTCAATTAGTTTTGATACTACTTACCGGACTAACAAAGAGTATCGGCCACTAGGTATGTTTTCTAGTTTGTTGTTTATTATTGTGTTTGTTAGTTTGTATGATTATTATCATTATCATTCTGTATCATGTTTTTTTTTTTTTTTGTTCTTAAAAGTATTTTACCATATGGTATGTGTTGGTAACAAGGTTATTTGAGGTGGTTTTTGGGTTGTTAGAAGTTTGTACTATATGGTATGGGCTGCTATGCATTGTGTTTTTGTTCTTAAAAGTCTTTTACCATATGGTATGGGTTGGTAACAAGGTTTTTTGTGGTGGTTTTTGCGTTGTTAGAAGTGTGTACTATATGGTAGTCTGGTGTGGATTGTTTTTTTTTTTTTGTTCTTAGAAGTCTTTACCACATGGTATGAGTCTTTACCATATGGTATGGGTTGGTATTATTGTTATTCGTACCTTTTACCACATGTTATGTGTTGGTAGAATTGTTTTTACTCACATTTTGTTATGTTTTTGTAGCTTTGTTTGTTGGTTTCAACAATCATCACCAACTGACTGTCTTTGCGGCTGCTCTTCTATATGATGAAACAACGGCAACATTTGAATGGCTTTTCGATCAGTTTTTGAAATGCATGGGAGGTGTGAGACCGTTATCAATGTTTACTGACCAGGCTGCTGCAATTGCTGCTGGTATAAGGTCTGTTTTCCCAGATTGTTTTCATGGGTTGTGTACATGGCATATTGCTCAGAATGCAGTTGTTAATCTGGGAAGTTTGTGTGACTCTGACTTCCTTCGTGAGCTTAGTTATTTGATGTATAATGCTAATGATGAGGATGATTTTGAGTATAATTGGAAGAAGATGATTGAAAAGGGACCTTTGGGACACAGTTGGTTACAGGGCATTTACAAAGTCAGGACGAAGTGGTCTTCAGCCTGGGTGAATTGTCATTTTGGTGCGGGAATGAAGAGTACCCAGCTAAGTGAGTGCTGCAATAGTAATATTCGACATTACTTGCAGTCAGAGTTTAGCGTTAGTAGGTTCTTTGTGCACTTTGAGAGGATGCTTGATAATAAGAGGGATGCTGAAGAACAAGAAGAGTACTATGCCTTATCTAGGTTGGCTGATTCTCGGTTTTCTACTAGCCCTATTGTGAAGCAAGTTGCTAATGTGTATACGCCGAAGATATTCAAGTTTTTCCTGGATCAGTACAAGGAATCCCTTGCGTATAATATTTTTTCCAATACGGAGATAGAACCAGAAGGACATGTAGGACTGTTTGATGTCTTCATATTGGAGGATGACCTTACAAGGTTGGATAGTAGGGTGTTGAAGGTTGATTTTGAAAACGGTGAAATCAAGTGTTCCTGTCGTAAGTGGGAGTCAAGTGGTATGATCTGTAAGCATCAAATTAAGGGATATGATATGTTGTGGTCTACAACATGCAATCTGAAGTTCCAGCACATTCCTAGCAGTTTGATTTTGAAGCGGTGGACAAGGGCAGCGAAAACTGGAGGGAACTTTTCTTTTGAAGTTCCGTCTACTGATAGTCCATCGAAATACCGTTCTCGTCTTTTCAATCTGTCAGCTGTTTCTGCATCAATGATCAGCAGGGTTGCATTGGATGATGATTTGTATAAATCAGTCGTGGCCTTCATGACTGATTTGATCAAAAAGTGTGAAGCCCTATCGATTACTGAACCTGCTGGAACAAGCACGTCTTCTAACGGTGACAGTAAGTTTTTAATTAATTGTTTAGAAATTTGTTTTTGTTTTTGTTATCTGTCCTTGATTGTAGTTTGTTTTTGTTATCTTGGTATAGATGATGTACCGGTCCAAAAAGTGAAGGGGTTTAAACCTAAAAAAGATTCATTCAAGCCTTCGAAACGACCAATTCCAGTTGCGGAGGCTGCAAGGGCTGTAAGTAAGAAGAAGAGAAACACTAGCAGGCTTGAGGAGGAGAATTTGAAGGCTGTTGAAGAAAGTTTAAGGCTGAAGCTGTAATAGTTTTCTTAGTGGATTATCTGAATGAATGGTTGATGCTGGTTGAGTTGTTGAAGCTATTTTGTTCTTTTGGATTGGTTTTTGGTTTTGTTGGATTAATTTTACAATGTTATACCATGTGGTATAATGTGGTAATTTGATTTTATCATGTCAAACCAGGTGGTAAAATGTGCTATTTTGGAAGTTGAATGTGAAGGTTCTGTTTTATAATTGATTTTACCAAGCCATACCATATGGTATAGTGTGGTAATTTGATTTTACCATGTGGTAATGTGTGGTAATTGATTTTACCATGTGGTAAAATATGATATTTTGGAAGTGGCATGTGTGGTAATTGATTTTACTGTAAATTACCATGTGGTAAAATGTGGTAATTTGGAAGTTAAATGTGAGGGTTTCTGTGTGATAATTGATTTTACCATGCCATACCATATGGTATAGTGTGGTAATTTGATTTTACCATGCCATAACATATGGTATAGTGTTGTAATTTATTTTTATCATGCCATACCATGTGGTAAAATATGGTATTTTGGAAGTGGTATGTGTGGTAATTGATTTTACA